CACACACACACACACACACACACACACACACACACACACACACACACCTGGTGCTGCGCCTCCTCCAGGTTTCCTCCGGCCCACAGAGAAAGACCGAGGCGATGACGAATCTTCGCTTCATCTTCTCTCCGACCCAACTGCTCTGACAGACGCAGACCTGAGGAGGAGGAGGAGGAAGAGGAGGTGGAAGAGAAGGAGGAGGAAGAGGAGGAAGAGATGTGAGAATCCTCTCTCTGACACTCATAACTGTTGCTGCCCCGGAGCCTCACAGTTGCCGTTCTCTCCTCTCTCCTTGTTCCCTTCTTGTCTTCCTCTGCCTGGAATCCAAAGATGTCTCTGCTCTCCAGTTTGTCTCAGATACGTTTCATCTCCCCCCCGCTGAGCGGACGCAGACAGTCATTGCGGTTCTCATTAGTTCTCATTAGGGTTCTCTAGATTGAGCTGAATCTCATCAAACATCTAGTTTTGACTCTCTCTCTCTCTCTCTCTCTCTCTCTCTCTCTCTGGGCCTGCTGTGATGTTCTGTTTCGGTGTTTTCTTTCCTCTCGGTCGTGGGAGGTTAATTGGAGGAGCGCATACGAATGTTTCTCCGGCTCCGTCCTCACTTCAACTCTGAGCTCCGAGTTCTTGGCTGCTTTTTGAGTTAATGATCAATTAAAATCAAGCGGATCCGTGAGTTTTGGTGACAAGCCGTGACCGTGTGTTACAGGCCCGATGAGGCCTGAAGGAGTTCATAAATGAAGCTTTGTCTGAGCTTTAGTTTGCATGTGTGCATGTTTAAGTGTCGAAAAGAGATTCCAGCACATGGGCGGATTATGAGCCGATGGGGCCCCGGGCTCAGACATGCAAAAGGCCCCACCACCTCTGCTACATACGAGCAAGACACACAACGTTTATAGTTGTTTAGACTGTTATTCTTGTTGTTTTGTGTCTCTTTTTGGTCATTCTGTGATGTTTTGTAGTTATTTTGAGTCTCTTTCAAGTTGTTTGGTGACTCTTTGTGGTCATTCTGTGACTGTAGTTGCTTATTGTGGTAATTTTGTGTCTCCTTGTAGTTGTATTGTGTCTTTTCGTAGTCATTTTATGTCTCTTGGTCGTTGTTTTGTGTCTCTTTATAGTTTTTTGTTTATGTCTGTGGTCATTTTGTGTCTCTTTGTGTCCATTGTTATCTCCTTGTAGTTGTATTGTTTCTTTTGGGGTTCATTTTGTGTCTCTTTGTAGTTGTTTTGAGTCTCTTTGTGTCCATTGTTATCTCCTTGGAGTTGTATTGTTTCTTTTGGGGTTCATTTTGTGTCTCTTTGTAGTTGTTTTGAGTCTCTTTGTGTCCATTGTTATCTCCTTGGAGTTGTTTTGTGTCTCGTTGTGGTCATTTTGCGTCTCTTCGGACAGTTGTTTTGTGTCTGATGGTATGCGTCTCTTTGACTGACACGTTATAGGTGAAGGCCGTTGGGGGCCCCTGTCTCTTTGGGCCCCTGGGCCTGAGCCCGATAGGCCCATTCAGTAATCCATCCATCTTCCCTCAGGATTATTTTCAACAAGAAAGCAGTTTTAAAACTAGCGACTACAAGAGACGTGATGCGTTTTAAAGTCAAGTTAGAGGAGAAGTTGAAGCAAACAGGATTATTGGAGACGAGCTGCCTGAAGGAAAGTGCGCTGCAGGGGAAGAGAAACTCGTTGTTCATCACAAGCAGAGAGTTTATTGATTCATGGCAGAAACAGACTGCTTTTGAACACGCTGGAAACGCTGTCAGACACACACTGCGCTTGGATTCAGGTGGGAGTAAAGTCTATTACATAACCGCTTATTGTTTAATGGTGCATGAGGACGCTCTTTTCACATTAACGTGTCATATTTATCAGTGTGCATTCATGTCACTGCATGATATGCACTTAAATGTATCCACGAGGGAGAAACAGTCATCTGTGGAACAGACTGAGTGAGTATTTGTATTAGAGCAGAAATTACGAGTCAATTAATCAATTAGTTGGCAGTTAATTCATTTGATTGGGCCGTGTTGACTATTTTCTGATATTTCAGTCTAAACAATGAATCGATAAACTAACAGGCAGATTTACCAATAATGAAAATAATAGTTAACAGGCTTGTTTTCTCATATTAACAAATAATTATTTCATAATCAGAGAGACGAGAATCAGTTATCTCATCAAATTAATCAATGATTAACGAGATGCCAGATTATCTGGATTATTGAGTTTAAAGCTTCTATATTTACATTTTTTTAATGTGATTACAGTATCTTTACATTTGTTACTGATGACCTCATTTTAAAATAATCCCTGCAGTTCCCTTTAAAATACATTTAATCAGCCTCTGAATACCAATATTTTCTATAAACAACACGATCCTATGAACACACACCTTTCTGCCAAAGTGAGAATAGTTTTGGTTATTTTACTGGTTAAAGTTGTGATTAAATGGAAAATACCTTTTTAGGTCAAATTGTGCACCTTTTCAATATGCAAAAAAAAGAAATTCTATCATCGTTTCTTCCTGTAAAACAAAATATGAAGTGTGCTTACATAAGCGAAAACAATAATATATATATATACACCCATCAATCAATCGTCGACTTTAAAACCAAAACTTGAATCTGAGTTTAAAGGGGCGTGTCGATGCTGCTGAGCTTCCTTACCTTCCTGCAGGTACATCACAGCCTGTGCATAGTTCTGCAGAGCGTGGTGTGTCCTCCCCAGGCTCCCGTAGGCCAGAGTTTTAGCGACCAGATCGTTGGTCTGTGCCGCCACGCTGAGGTGCTGCTCCTGGAAGACCACGGCCCGCTCGTACTTCCCGAGAGCTTCGTAGGTGAGCCCCAGGTTTCCGTAGGCTCGACCCTGGCTCCTCACGCACCCCGTCTGCTCCGCTATGTCCAGCGCCCTCTGGTGCCACTGCAGCAGGAGAGAAGGGACTAGTTTGACATTTCTGGAATCACGATTATCTAACAGACACTCGGATGAGAAGATCGATACCACTCGTGTGTCTGTACACTAAATATGAAGCTACAGCTGGTTAGCTTAGCTTAGCATAAAGACAGGGAGAAACAGCTAGCCTCTGCAAAATCCACCAACCATCCGTAAAAAAAAACCACACACTTGAGTCTCTGTTGGTCGGACAGATCCAGGCTAGTAGTTCCCCACTGTTTCTAGTCTTTATGCTAAGCTAAGCTAAAGCCTGCTGGCTGTAGCTTCCAACTTGGATTTAACAATCCAACTCACACTTGACACTTTAATAACATACTTGTTTTGAACATACTCTTCATTTGTTTGTTTATCATATTTTAATGTAAATTTTCACATTTTCTATTTTTAAATTATGTCTTTTGCTATTGAAGTGTTTATTAGTATTACTGCGTTACGTACTTGGCAATAAAACCTTATTCTGATTCTGATTTAGCGTACAGATATGAGTGGTGTCAGTCTTCTCACAAACAAGTAAAAAAAAAATCTAGCTATTCTTTAAAATTTTGGCTGGTAAATACTTGTGTATTATGAATCTGCACAAACCTGTAGCGCTGTCTCGTTGTCGGCCATCAGCTGGTAAACGCCTCCAAGTGCATCGCTCGCCTCTGCCTCCAGGGATTTATCCTGACAATCAATGCAGGATTTACTACATCTTTCTGTGCATATAAATGTACTTTTCATAATAAATAAAAAGACCATTTGTTGTATTCAGAAGTGCAAGAAGAGACAAATCGGCAGCTGAAAGAGGAACTGTGTTGCAGGTGAACCCTTACCCCCGCTGTGCGTGCGATGTTCAGCTGGTGTTCCAGGCAGGAGAGGGACTGCTCGTAGTTGCCCAGCTGGCTGTGTAACGTGCCCAGCTCCCAGTACGCCTGAGCCTTGCCCCCTCCTTCTCCGCCCAGCTCGTGGGCGACCACCAGCCGCTTCTCAAAGCACACCAACGCCTGCTGGAGGCTCCCCATAGATCTGAAGAGAGAGGGGCGGGTGGACGAGACAAAGGACGAGATCATTTAGTCTGAGCTTACAAACAATAAAAGCAAAGTAAAAATGCATATCACAGTACCGTCTTCACCTACTATCAAAGCACTCGTTTTTATCAGAGAGACCCAATTTAAGCAAGCAAATAGGTTAATAATTTAGATGATGGGCTGGAAAACAGCTCAGTATCCTCCGAGAGAAAGAGTAGAAACATCTACAGAGGCGGCGCTCATCGGGATAAATGAGTGACTCTACTCTCATCGTCACTCCAGAGAGCGGGAAGAGACGGATGAAGGAAAGCCATCATTAAGCCCCGTTCTTCTTCTGTCGGTGAACGTTACTTCTGTGCTTTCATAGGAGAGACATGTGGGGTGTATACTCTGTGGGAAGACGCGAGGGAACTTCCATCTACTCCCATCTCCGCTGCTGCTCGTTACTGTTACTGAAAAAACAATATTATTTTCATTATTATCACGACTCTAGTTTAAAATGTGCGTACGCTTGAGGAAGAAGAGCTCATTCGAGATTTTGTGCATGAATGTTGTCCCGGCAAACTAATTGGAGAGCACAGGACATAAACGTACGTACAAACAGACATTAATAAGTCCAGAGCGCTGAATCCGATTGGTTACAGCATGAAGACACTTTTTGATGGACTTAATGTTTCAAATACATGTTCAGATCACATGGTGTGTCTGTATTCTAGTCTGTAACAGAGAATATAACCCATGTTCAGCATTCACTTAAAGAAGATGTAATTAATGCAAATCATGTGCTCCAGCTCACTCCACCAGCAGACAGGCTGAATACAGTCACAATGTAGAGGAGAATGAAATACACAAATTAAATTAGTTCGACATTTTGGGACATGCACTTACCATGAGCTTCAATTAATAGCCCAGGCTTTTATTTATCACGAAATTCAACTGAACTCAGCATATATTTGGGACACGCCTTTAATTACTTTTGCACAAAACTTTTGCTCAGCAAAGATGGGAAATCAAATATGTATTTAAATCAGTTTGTATAAAAATTAGAATAACATTAATTATGATTCAGCTCCAAGACAGTTAACGACGCTCGTTTTGCACAGACTTCACACAGACCCAAAGCTTCATGTGTTAAAGCTGCATTCTCTCTAGTGTCCACCA